AGGAGGGGGGGGGGAATTAATCTTTTTTTAGTCCTAAGTGGGATATCAAGCTAAAAGGCCTGAATACTTCACAGCATTTCTTCTAATCTTTAGATGCTGATCTTGGTGCAGCAGGAAATGCTAGAAAATGTTTAATGAAGCAGAAACAGAGAATGATTGCAGAAAGAAAAGCACAGGCACAAGCAGAAGCCTAAGCTCAAACCCTCACCGTGTAATATTTTACGGTTTGAATACCTTAAAATACCAAGTCTGCTCATGTACCTTGATGCTGAAGCTGGAGTTGTATCACATAACTGTACAATTAAAGCATTGCAGAGAACATCTCTGCTAAATAACTACATTCTAAAATGTGGGATGCCATCAGTGTTGCTAAGATGAATATATTGCAGAACTATCACCATTTTTGCTAAGAAATGGGAGCAGAAACATTGGTGGTACCCATCCTTGCACTGCAGAGCACACTAGCCTTCCTTAATTGGCACATCCATGTCTACTAGAAAGGTGCTGTGGCCATGAATATGGAGATAGTCAATTAGTTGACTGCTTGCATGGGGTGGGGGAGCAGGGGAGAAGTTGAAGCTGGCTTAAACCCTGCCCCCCCAGAACAGTCTTTGCTGTGCTGCCTGCTCCCTTACCTCCCTGTGGGGTATACAGGCAGTGGGGAGGCTGCCACAAAGCAGCTTCTGCACACTACAGGCCCAGGCTTGCCTGTCTGTGGAGGGGAAGGGGTCCCTGTTGAAGATCCCCGCTGGACAGGGGCTGCTTGACCTGGTGAGCTGGGACTAAGCAAGCTAGTCCTGCTGCATTTTAAATACAGTAAGAGCCAGGCCAGCTCTTCCCCTTTAAAAGGCAGAGCTGCTTATTGGCTAATCATGCAGTCAGTACAGATTGTATTGACTACCTGATGAGTTACCTGCCTCTTAACATCCTTAACCAGAAGCAGACTGCAAGCAAATTCATTCTCCTTTATAAACTAACCAGGAAGACCTGTGATTTGGCATGAAAGGAAACTTTTAAGATTTTGTATTACTGTTTGCAGAGGATCTTAAGGTCCATAAAACACATGCTTAATTTTCTAAAGATTTTTTTGAGGCAACGCCTTATGTTAGAAGCTGAGCACCTTTAGCTATGCTTACTGATTTTTTTTAAACTTCTCCCAGCCTGACTTTGGACTATTGTGTACTGTCAAAGTGCTTTTGACACCTTCAGTGGCTAGCTGAGTCACTAGTACAGTCAAGCATTAAAAGAATTATCCCTTTGAATGGCAGAAAATTGTTTGCATTTAAGAGTAGCCCTGTAGTCTTAGTACAGTCTCTACAAATGTAAATGCTCATATGCTTTTAATCATGCATTTGTCTTTGCCACTTATCACCTCAGAGTGGCTTAATTTTTTGTGGCTCCTACAGATGGTCTACATTAGTCTAAAACTTTTTTAAAAAGCTATGGTCAGATGCAAAGTTCCACTAATAAGTATTTTTACACCAACTCCCAATGGTATGTTTGGACATAGCTGAAATGCTGAAAGAAACCAGTTCTTTGAGATTCTAAGGGGAGGCTTCAGTGTTTAACTACATTTGCTCTGCCTTTTAACAATAGCCTTCCTAAAAACTAATCACAACTGGTTTGGTAATCCTATTACATGCTGTTCATTCAAACCTAATTCACTTTAGTGTTTCCTCTGTCCTAACAGTTAAAGTTCAGCAAATGAGTGGTGCAGTCTGAATTCATTTGTCTAGGCAAGTTAATCAAGGAAACATTCAGTACATTAGCTAAAGCCCTTCAGATGCTTAGCACGTAAGGATGTCAGAGGAATTGACTACTGTATCACATTTAGCATATGTTCAGTTGAACCTGAAGCTTTCACTGTACAGGTACCTTTCATGAAAAGGGATTTCATTTCTATAGAAATTCACACCAACTTAATATGCATTCACCCATCCTCACAGATTGAAAATCCAGTAAACTCGTGTTCATCACTTTATTTTGTACAAAAACATTTAAGTAGTTGCCACAGCCGCTGCCTGCGTTCTCTGCATGGAGACTCTGGTGTGGGTCTTAGCCAGATGATCAGTGAATTCCTGCAAAAGAGTAAGACATTTCATTATCTTCAAGCAAATGTTGCAGATCTCACTATACATCCATTTTAAATTACAGACTGAGTTCTTACAAGTTTAATTTTATCTTCCCTGATCCCTCCAAGCCAGGGGGTGGGCAATAATTTTTAAGGGGCTACTTCTTGTGCTCCCCATCACCCAATTGGACTGGGGACAGGGGAGTGGCAGGGTGGCCATGGATCAGATCCACTGGCTTGAGGCCTGATCCAGCCCATGGAAACTCCTTTACCCACCCCTGCGACAAGCTCCCCCCCTCCCCCGCCTCATTTTACTCTCTAGCTAACTTGACAACTAGGAAGTAATAATGACCAACATGGAGAGTCCAAAGAAAAGCAACATATGAAAAAGTCTTGAAAGAGACCAGAGGGAGGGGGCGATCTGATAAGTTTAAGAACTAATTCCACAAAACCTGTGATGGATAGTTTAGGGGTACTTGGGTCTTGCCTGAGCACACAGAGGCTAACCTACATGACTTCTCAAAGTCTCCTCCAGGCCTACATTTCTCTGATCCTATATGGAATTCTGCATCTTCATTTTATTAACTGCAACAGAAATCTGAAGGAAGACCAATTCTAATCAAGTTAGCCTACTGGAGTTTGCCATGATGATCCCTGAGATCAATTACAAAACCTGATTTTGTGCTTACCTGATACGGAGACTTGGTGAATACAGTCTCCTTCCAGAGGTCAGGGGTCAGATAACTGTATGTCTTAGAGATCGCATCAAAGGTGGCTTTAGCTATTGAGAAAAGTCAGACATTGCACATTGTATTACACAGGACCAAAAAGGTAGAACTCCATTGTGCAAGGCACAATACAGACAACAAAGCTGTGCCTGCCTCAGCTTAATGGTCGTCATTTCAGGAAAATAAATGTAGAGTTTGAAAAGGAACAGGGAAACCATATCAAGGTCCCTCTGCCGTGCATATTGAACTCATTCTCTCTCTCTCTCCAATGACGACAATTACACTACTTTAACCAAGTGTAATTGAGCAGAGCTGAGAGAATATTAAACAGGATGCATGTAGGAAGACATTTGTAATTCAGTGCCTCAAAGCCTTTATTACAAGACAGATCTAACTCCAGAATAAATTTTGGCAGGATCTATCTACATTATACAATCTGTTGGCATACAAGGTTTGATTCCAAAAGCTTTTAATTTAACAGCTAAAATAGTATTGGATAAAACAGCTAATTTGGTCATCCACTGGGACTTGATTACATCTAGACACCTAAAACAGCTAGCAGTTCAGTATGAATTTGAGTCAGACAGTTTAAACCAATGTTTCAACTTTTTTTTATATAAAGTACGTCCCCCCCCCCTTTTTAAAAAAAAGATTACAAGTACACCCAGTATCTACAGTTTCAGACAATTTTTTCCTACCGTTGTAACATTTGTTTAAACAACTTAATTGTAGCCGGGCAGGCGATAAAATTTTGGGGTATGAAAGTACAAAAATAAAAACGCTGTAAAACTTAACACAATTCAGTTTACTCCAAATTTCAATTGTTGCCACACACCCTCCGCCCCGGCCCCGACTTCTCTCAAGTACCCCTAAGGGTACTAGTACCACTGGTTGAGAAACACTGGTTTAAACTATCAATTGAACAACTGGCCAAAAACAACTTACCAAAGTTGCCAAGTGTAGCGGTACAACCCCTGGCTGAGGTATAGCAGTCATCAATTCCAGCCATCATCAGCAGTTTCTTGGGAACAGGGGCGGATACAATTCCTGTACCACGGGGTGCTGGGATCAGACGCACCAGAACAGATCCACAACGACCAGTAACCTAAACGGCACAGCAGATTACATTCAACTAACCCATGAGACTATTGAATCCTTAATTCCTTCATGCTTTGAAGTGCAGAGTTAGGATGTAAAAGACTAGTCAACTATCCGATAAGCATTTGCTTATCGGATGGTTTTTTGACTTGGCGATATCCTGACCCTTTTGCTGCCTCTATGAAATTGAATGGGTACTTCAAGGAATGGGTACTTCAAAGTGGCAATGCCCACAGTGGTGCTGCCTCTTTGAAACCCCCAAAGCGGCATTCCAAAGGGGGCAGCCACTGCACAGCAGGATCAGCTGTGTGGCGGGCTGCCCTTTAAACACCGCCTCTGCGCTTTTCGAAGGGGCAACCAGGAAGCCCTGGGGTCAGCTGGGAAGTCCCAGTTGACTCCGGGCTCCCCGCAGCATTTCCCCAGCAATCTCCCCGTGGCACTTCCCGGGTTCCGAGCAGCATAGCATGGAGCTGAGGGTCAGTGGGGGACTGAGTTCCCCCACTGACCCTGGGCTCCATGGCTTTGAAAGAGCCCCTGCTGGTACACCAAGTTCCGCATTCCTCCTTTGAAATGTACAAGTGCCCCAGCGGGTCAATTAACCACATTTTAACATCCTTAGTGCAGAGCTATGGTGAAATCAATTAGTCTTACCTTGCAAGGTACAGTATGTGGCTTGCCAATCTTGTTACCCCAGTAGCCTCGTCGTACTGGTACGATGGACAGTTTAGCCAAGATGATTGCTCCACGAATAGCAGTGGCAACTTCCTTGGAGCATTTTACACCAAGGCCGACATGACCATTGTAGTCGCCAATAGCAACAAAAGCCTAAAATTAAAAAAAAGGCTTTAAAGCTGCATATACATGTTGCCCTTACAAACTAGGGATGTCAGCATGTAGTCTAGTACATGATTAACCAATAAGCATTGGTTTATTTCACTACATGCATTTCCCCCACCCTGGCTAACTCTATCAGAGGCAGCAAGATAGGGAGGGAGAGTGGGAGGTGGTGCCCATGAGGTGCTGGCTTTAAGCAGGCTCCCCACAAACACGGGATCCACCTGCCCTCCCCTCCCCCATAGTGCTGTCTGATAGAGGCAGCAGCGTGGAGAGTGAGGGGGCAGGCAGAAGCTGGTACTGCAGCTCAGAACTCCCCCCCCACACACACCTGACAGGGGCTGCTGGTACAGAGGCAGCAGCATGGGGCAGCAGGCAGCCAATCTGCTCCCCTGGGGACCAGCTCCTGCCTGCTACCCCATACTGCAGTCTCTGATATAGAAGCAGCAGTGCTGGGTGACGGGGGCTCCCCCAGAGTGGCGCTGGGAGTGCACTGGCTGCCACCCCCACCCCCAGGGACTATCGAATAGTTGTGTAACCTCCAAGATTTCATGTGGTTACACGACTATTCAATTACAAAATATCTAACATCCCTATTACAAACCTCTCAGGAAGAGCATACCCTATCATCACCACCACAGACTACATCCAGCACAAATTTTGCCCCTGGGTTATGACAGTCCATCAGAAACTCAAGTCTCCCATCTTTCAACTTCCTGTACAAGTCTTGAAGCAGATTCTGCAATATGACTCCAGAAGAGTGAAGAGGCCATTAAAGGCTGATTTTTCCATTGAGGAATACCCCAATCTACACCACTTTGGCTGCTGCTCCCCATAAAGCAGGGCTGGCCGGAGCACTGCTACTTTCCATTTACTCCGCTACACACCACTCTAGCCAAGTAGCAATTAGAGCAACTCAGACTACTCAAATTTGCAACAAGGTTACTGCTAGATTCACTTTTACCCTCCAATCCCTGTTCCTAAGCCAAGGATAGTTCAGGGTGGAGAGAACTCTTGATTGTTCAATAGCCTTCTCCAGCTAGGTCCTGGACAGAAGACTGCCTTAGAACCAGCCACATGGCATTCCCAAAAAATTACCTTGAACCTGGTACGCTGACCAGCACGGGTCTGTTTCTGGACAGGCATGATCTTCAGAACCTCATCCTTCAGGGAAGATCCCAGAAAGAAGTCAATGATTTCTGACTCCTGCAGGAAGCAAAGAAACTTAATTAAAACAGCTACCTTGTGGCAGGCTTAAGACAGGATCAATAAGTTTCCTGCAACTAGGGGATGTTAAATATAGATTAAATAATTGACTAGTTGATGGATTTTCCATCAACTAGTCGATAAGTGGGGGAGCTGCAGCAGGGTTAGCGCCCAGCCCCGGGATCTAACCTGGCTGTGGCTTTACTTTTTAAATGGACTAAGAGCCTGTGGGCTCTTACCAGGCTAAAGTGCAGCAGGGGGGGACCCAGTGTGAGCCTAGGAATCACCTGCCGGCTCTTAGTACATTTAAAAAGCAGCAGAGTCCCAGCTGCTGGGACTAGGTATGAGCCAGGAATCAGCTGATTCCAGGCTTGCACCTGGTCCCTGCCACCCACCCCCGCCCACAGAGACGCTGCTGTGGGAACCAGCTTTTAAGCTGGCTCCCCCTTGTCACCGGCTCCAGCTCACCCCTTACTGCCTCTGACAGAGGCAGGGGAAGGGGGATCACTAGTTACTTACATCCCCACCTGCAACACACAGCACAGAAATGAACAAGTATGTATACGATAGAATTAGCATATCTGGTAAGATTTAATTAACCTGCTTTGAAACATTCCAATATATCTTGTAATACATAATAAACATCCATTCTACTTAAGTCATAATGAATTTGACTTGCCTTTTGAAATCTATTTTCCACTTTCATCAGAACAGTTGATTCATTATAATCAGGCATTACACTTCCTGTATTATACTACTTCCAATCAGAACTTCTGAACTGGCTAATGCAACATCTTTTACATTTACAAATCAAATTTTTTGTTTCATGTATCAGTTTGCACGAATTCTAGGGCACTTTAACAATTCATATAGGTTTTACCTTGATTGGAAGAGAAAACAGATAAATCTCTTCAAGAGACTTGATTTTCATATCTTTGACTAGGCGACCAAGTTTGGTGACAGGAATCCACTGTAAAAAAATACCCAATGAATGTCAGTAACAATCCAAAGTGTCATAAGCAAGAGCTTAAGCGGTCATAAGCTGTGCCCCTTAAGAGCTTGTAAGTTATATTTTAGCTTTTATTGGTAACATATGCACTTTATTACTAAAGTATAACAATGGAAAAAAACCTGCAACCTGGAAAACCTTTACCAATCTATCACGCAGTGCCAATCTTCTCTTAACAATCCCACATGACTATCATGTTATTGGCATCCTTATGTGAACATTAACACACGTAAATGTCACAAAATATTTAACAGATACATAGCTTAAAGCTACAGATAAAAAAAGCCAGTATTTAAGTAAATGAGTAAACATGGCAGAGCTGAGAAACAGACTTACTTCTTTGTCTTCAGCTTTGCCACGGGCCCGCCCTCTTCCACGACCTCTCCCTCGACCCCTACCACGGCCTCGGAGACCACTACCAAAGCCACCTCTGAAGCCCCCTCTTGCAGCTGCTCCTGCACCTGCACCTCCTGCTCCTGCACCTCCTGCTCCTGCACCTCCTGCAGCACCGGCGTCGTCCGCCATTTGCTAGAAGAGGGATAATTACCTATTTAGTTACACGACCGCTTCAGAGCATGCCCAAAGACAACACAGGCAACCAGGCCTGTGCAGTTCCCCAAAGTGGGCTGGTCTCAAAGACAAGACAGGGAGCACTGGTCCCTTTTAGCATAGCCTCCAAATTATGTTACTACCCTTATTATCGCCTCTTCCCATTCCCAAGGGAATCTGGCTCCCATTTCCAACAATGCCAACCACACCATCCCCAAACGGGGCAGAGCCTGGAAACGCATCAGTAAACAATACGGGGAGGAAGATGCCAGCAGCAAAAGGCTGGATGGAGCCTCTCTCTGGGGCCTATTTCACCAGCTGCGATCTCCATTTCTCTTCAGGCTAGCACTGGGGGTGCCGCACACCCCGGCCCGCAGAGGGGTAATGGGGTGAGCTTTCCATTGCACTGAAAAGGTGCCTCATTTCCTCGCGTCCTCCTGGGCAGGGAGCTCCCCCCCCAAGCATCCCGAGAGCCCTTCCCCCGAGGCCAGGCCCCAGCACCCCTCCCCCCGTCCACTTCCT